CTACTTAGTGACATCATCTGTAAGCTTAAGTACTGCCATTTGGTACTGCGACGTATCCTTAGAAATGGGCAGTATCTCCACAGAGACCCCTCCCTCAGGGTTCGCAGAGGCGACTTGAGACATGATGCCAACGACCTAGCCCTGCCACCTCTGCCCTATAACGCACTATGAACTCAACGAGCCACCAACCAAGGCAATGCGAAACTGGCAATTCTACACTAACTGGTGAATGAGCCCTCCACAGTGAATGTCAACAACTACCTCACGCTACCGTCCACACTTCAGCCTCCCCACCAGCAGGTCCAGTGCTAGCTCCTAAAACCAACAGCTGGCCCTCTTTATCGTATACACAATCACGGAGAGTAAGATCTGCAACCCCTTCAATTCTCGACAAGCCAGTCCACTTTCCCGCAGCGTCCCACGAGAGTACATCCCCCCGTTTAGTAACTGCCCTAACGCCCTTCCCCACAGCCTCACACGCCCCTACCAAGCCGCTGCTCATGCCGACCCTCGAGGGCACAGGGAGTCTACCGATCTTTTTCCCAGCATCATACCGATACACGCCGTCTCCATCAACAGCAACCTCCTTACTAACAAGGCCAGTATTCGCCTCTACCACTTGCCCACCCTGCGAAGATGCAATCCAGCTGTTACCGTGCATGTCCGCGAACAACAGACTGTCGTCAGGGCCAAGCGTGAGGCTCACCGGATTGAATATAGTCCCCTCACCATCAAACTTAACCCGAACACCCAGGTTCAATCCCTGCAGCTGTCGTAATTTCTCACTATCCCTAGGCATACCAGCATGAGCCATCTCCTTATCCTCATCAGTCTCCCCCGGCTCCTCCTTCACAACCAACCCGAGCTTATTATTCCACCCCCAAGTAGTAGTACCCGAGGCAACGATAAATGCATATATAATGCCCCACAACCACAGCAACGTAATGACCCCAGCGCCCGCCTTGAAACTCCTCCACGGCAAAGTCATCGCCTTCGTATTTGCCTCAGCAAAAGTCTCATTATTATCCCCCTCCCCAGCAAGCAAGCCCATCGGGCGACCACTTGCCAACTCGTTAACATCTTGGGTAAGACTCCTAGGTACACTAGCCCCTTCCTCCGTACCGTATGTGATCCTTTCATGCGTCTCCTCCGTATAATGCAACGGTAATGTAGTTTTCTGCCTAGTTATCCTAGCACCACCCTCCTGCGAAATCTGCGACCCCTCACTAGCAAACGAATCCATATTGTGTCTGCTACTCTTCAGCTTTCTAATACTCTGCGCATGCTTAACCATAGGGGCCTAAAACCAACCAGTTTATTCAGTCCAACGCCCCCTCTCTCCTACCTGAGGGATGAGGTCAGTGGCCGCCCTCTCGAGCTTAGCAGCAGACTTCTTCCGAGATCCATCCAGCCTTGATTCAAGACTCGTATTGTTCGCTTCCTCCCCCTCCTCCTCATCCTTCTTCAGGCCGAGCACGTCAATTTGGATAACCGTCGAGAACTTAGTCGGCAAAGATCCATCGGGCTCCACCGCTAAACGAAAAATAAACTTAACAAAAAACGCTTCGCTCCGCCTTACCCATGGACATCAAATACCCTATACAGAGCATATGAATAATGTACGATACCGGTGATATGTAATTGACAGCGGTCAAGTAAGTCTCATAGCTCGTATCCACCGGCTCGCCAGCGACGATAGCCTCATTGGCACTGATCTGCCCCATATTGTAACCGATGGTGAAGCTAGCACATAGGCCCGCCAGGAATGGACCTGCCCAAACACTATAGGAGAAAATATGCACATAGTCATCTACATTTAGTGTTGGTGACAATATGAAAATTTCGAGGAAATTTTGGAAATTTTTTATTAGTTTCTGTACACTTCTACCCGAGTTCGTTTCTGAATTGCTATAAACGAGCAAACTCCCGAGCTCAGCTGAGGAAAGCGAACATATACGGAGTTTACTCACTAGCTGCACAAGCTCACGAAATGTAAACCAGGAACCAATAAAAATTTCCCAAATTTCCTCAGAATGAAAATACACACGTAGGAAAACATCCCGCAACTCTTACCAATGATCTGTAGAGCAGCTAGCGTCAACTGCTCCCATGGGTTTAGCAGTAGATTCATCCTCTCATGTGCCAACGCGAAGGCCATAGGAAGAACCACGAAAACCCAAGTACCCCAGAAGTGGTATTGGACCATGTAGTAGGCGAGACCCATGTAACTGATATCCAAAAGTCGGACGAATAAGATACGAAACATGTCCGATACAGACACCACGCAAATTCAAATATAGAAAAACCAACGGCGACGGCCTCTCACCTCAGCCTACTACCTGATCACATGGAGAAACTGGTTTGCACCAAGAACCATGCACACTCTAGCATAGGCATCAAAGCCGTTCCAATGCTCTTGTAGTTTATTGTATAGATAGAAATGCTCAACAAATACGTTATACTCCGCCGCGCTGAGAAAATTAACATCGATAAAGTTGCATAAACTTCCCGCGCGCCTCATTACTCTGGATCTTCCGTATTCAACTGGGCGGGAAATGCCTCCTTAGCCTCAACCCCAGTGGTATACTTCTTGCCGGGGATATAACTGAAAAAATACACTAAATTACGAAAACAATTAATTTCAAAAATTTAAAAATTACAATACATAAAATGTTGAACTTTTCGGCCTTCCTTTCTAAGGCCGCTAAAATTTTCTCAAATTTTGCCAAAATTTTGCCAAAATTTTCCCAAATTCTCGTTCTCTCCCAACGTACTAGCCAACAACTGGTATCCTAAACATTCTTTTCACACCGCTGGTCTCATAGTCCTGCAACCGAGCAGCTATAGGGTTGATCTCGTCCTCGCCGGGAATAGGCAGACGCATCCACTGGGTGAGCACCCGCGCCTTAAACGTCTAGCAACAAAGCACTGTTGGTCAAGCCGTGCACTTCTACTAGTACGACTCACCTGGGCCACAATAGAAGCATGAATAGCAAACCATACCGATAGCAATAGGAAGAATATAGCACATATCAGATGCATACCCCACAACCACACCAACCATGCTGGAGTCCCGTCCTCAGGTCTGAATGCGAGATCAAGTAAACATGTAAATGCCCATTTCGTGACTTACAATCGGCCTTCATAGAAAAAGCCAACGACGAAGCCCAATGTGAGTGTATTAACCACGATATACGTATCCATCTTGCCAATAGTCAACTCGAAAAGATCTCTTACATCCTCACGATAAAGGTCAACCTAGAAGATCCTTTGCGTGTCACCATGGTGGTGTCACCACCAGCTGGCCTACCTGTTCAACGCGCATCTTCTGCGTGTGATAAACTCGATCCTGGTTCAGTTCATAGTCGAATTGGTAGTTAGTACGGTTGTATTTAAATAGCTCCCATACACCACCTAGTAGTGCGCCGACTTCTAGGACTACCATTACTAAGCAAGTGACGACAAGCCGACTTTCTACACGAAGCTGCTGCTGTCAAAGCTAATAAATTCGCATCGCTCCGCTCAATGAAATTAGCGCACGCCCGAAAATAACACTGACCAACGAAAGGAACCCCTCGCTCCGGAGATAGCCAGGATCAAACTAAGGAGGCGTATATAGACAATTCGCAACTCTAATACCAAACCAAGGAGTTCTTTCGTGTGTTAGCGTATGGGAACTCATGATATGAGCTCCCTCAGCTGAGGCAAGCCTTTACAAACATTGAGACGATAGCCTCTATTCTCGACAGCATCGTATGCTTCTACTGCGCTCAAAAAATGGCGTCTCGAGAACGACGGCGACACTGCCCGTCGTACAAAACTATCGTGAATGACGAATTCGCACGAGACAAAACCCAACACGACGCCCATTACCCCTGGTGCAAACTCAACACATGTGATGAAATCTGGTGGAAACCAGTACAGTCTAGAAGAGAACCCCGGTTATTACTACTAGCAGTATAAACAAGTGAATAACCTATTACCATCACATACCATTCATGTGATGAAATGTTACAGCATGACCGTAATAATAGTAAAAAAACGTTACTGGACGATGGACAAAACCGGGGTGAAAATACTACTCAACCGAGTGTGCATACAAGACAGGTATCAATGAGTTTCTCTCATAACCGACGACTACACCAACCGTCCGCGCTGTCCACAATACGTCATACGCATCAATAACCGGCTCCAGAGAGCGGCGACCAGAGACCCGTGTACCAGACTTAGTCGACAACCAATGGACCATGCCAGTTTCCATCGTCACCAAAATTGCGTCCTCTGTTGCATGAAGTGAGCTAGATGCTCCATATCGCTCACTTCCAAAGGCTTTCCACGATGTCGGGTTGAGTGAGCGAGTGAATAACAATTCGCCACCATCCGATGCGATCCCAACATAGCCAGCAGAAGTCGCTGCAATTCGGTAGAGTCTCATGCCCAGGTTGATAGCAACAGCTGACGACGCGCATGGGAGGAGCCAGGCCCCAGTGAGAGCATACAGAGTGCCGTTCAACACCAGGAGGTCATCGATGACCGTCACTCTAGAAGTACCACAATCGATCTCGTTAAGTGTGGTTTTATTGAGCATGTACGCCGAGAATAGTGTCGCCACATATATCACATTTCCGTCACGCGCCACAGAATTAACTCCCGTTTCCAGCCTCACCAAAGACCATCCTTCCCGCCTAGCAAGAAGCCTATGGTGGTCATCAGTGTGATTGTCAACAGGAATAGCCGCGATGGGTATATCCAACAAACCATCAGCGATGAGCTCAGGATCGACTGTGTTGATGGCCAAGACCACGACTGCTGCCGCCCAGCACAGCAGAATAGTTACATTCAATAGACGAGTGAACTGAAACAGGTACGACTATGGTATGACAGTGTTGGAATATATATTTTTAACGGCATTATAAAAAATTTACACACGACTTGGCTCAAAAGTTCACAATAATTTCCCGAAAATTTTCCCCAAAATTTCCATATTGTCACCAACAATGTGGTAAACCACGTGCATATTCTCCCACACTGGATGAAAGTATTCCGATCGACAGTATGAGAGAATACGCTCATGGTCAACCACATGTGTTGGTGACAATATGGAAATTTTTGGGAAAATTTGCGGAAAATTCTCATTAGTCTCCGTACACTTCTACCCAAATTTGTATGTAGATTCTACTACTAGCGAGGGAACTCCTTAACTCAGCTAATATGAGCGAACATATTCTCACACCCTTCCTCCAAGTGCTGACCATAGCACTCACCATGAAAGGCATTCTTGCTCGTCGAACAGTAGTCCTCGGATCGTTAAGAATGTCAAGTCCCTGAGCCTTGTGCGCTTCTTGCAACGCTCTAGTCCGTGCCATCAATTCCGCCAACTCGTCGGGTAGTAACGACATACCGCGTCGCAAGCCCTGCAGAAAAAAAATCTTCCGCGTGCGCACAAAAAGATACTTTCACCAGAGTCCGAGACGTATCCCACTGAATCTCCCCCGTTTCAGTGTTTAAATGATACGGTAACGTTTCCCCTGTCTCCGTAACGTGCTCCAGAGTAACCCAGCCTCCCACTGGGTTGAAGGGCGTGCCCGGCGTCGCGTCACCACGCCCCTGCTCAGCCTCTAGGGCAGCTGCCAAGGCTATACGCTGGACTTCGAATTGTGACTTCAACTCGTCTAGCTTGCTCTTGTCCTGGGCACGACCATGATTTGATCGAATTTTGGTATCAAAAAAACGGCATCTACTCACTTCATTGGACAAGTCCTGTCGCTGAGCATCCCAATAACGAAAGAGGCGATCAAGGCTCCTCTCACATCGTCTACAGGCCCTCCGCAACTCCTCCGAAATGTCATATTCGCGACACCCGTCATCCGCCTCTGCTGCCACGAACGGCAATACTTCATCATAATCCCTCGCAGTGCGATAGTCATTCGATGGACCTCCCATGGGAATACTCGGCAATTTCAAATGCCTAAACAGAGATCTAGACCAACACCAGGCCGAGCACGCACGAACTTACCCTTTCTCACTGAGTCTAGGCTGGGCCATCGGCTCGGCAACCTCCTGTATGGCCTCCACACCGAAGCCCAACACGTCAATACACCACACAGTAGAGAACTTATACGGTAGACCATCGGCATCTCGCTGACAGAGGTAACTAAAGCGGTCAGTGACAGAGCTCGATACGCCCGTTGAGTACATATGGTATGTATAGAAACAACAGAGCTATGGAGTCTATGTCGCTGAGAGCTTGACCACAAAACTTTTTACTATTCCGGTGTACTTGATACGAGACCAATGGTATCTTGGTTTTTATTGTGTTATCTCAATTCCTTTGGTTAGAATAAATCAGCACTCAGCCACACGAACGACTCAATTTCACGAAAAAGATTTTATTTCATATATCACGAATCAGTTGTTGATGATGATGATAATTAAGATTTTCTGCCTATCTTGAACTTACATGAAAAATGCCTGCCAAAACATAGACAGAACCACACCACTGATTCCTATCCAGATTTCCGCTGGAGAAGTGACCAAAACCACGACTTCGCTCCGCTCACTCGTTTGCAGAATACTAACATTGATATCATGCCAACCCACAGCGACGCTTTGTGTGACGACCGCACCAAATGAAAGGGTCATCTAAGGAGACTCAAATAAAACGATGTTGAGCATCCAGTTTCTACCATGACGATTCTCTCTCGGTCGGAAAGCACAGTATTGACACCAATATGGATGTAGGAGCATACTGTCATGATGAGTACAAAAGCGTATGCTGCTATTCTGTTTCCGAAAAAGACGCCGTAGAAGGCGAGCGTGAAGTAGGCGAAGGCGAATAACATCTGATTGGTACCTGAGGTTCCCAACGCAAAGATACGGATCTAGCCCAAAAACGGCCTGTCTGAGATCGTCCCTATTAAATTGAATGACAATGAACAAGAGTTTATATAGAGTCGAGTTACTACCCCAGCACATAGTGACTCTCGAGTACGCCTCGTGTCCCTGCCATTTCGCATGCATTAAGTTAAAGAGGTTGAAGTGAGCCAAGAAGACCTCCCAGTCTGTTGTCAGGTCGCGGACGCCCTAAGATGCGATCCGACTGTGGGAAAATATGCGCGGGGTCAACTACATGTGTTAGTGAGAATATGAAAATTATGAGAAAATTGTTGTTAGTTTTTGTACATTTCTACGCAAATTCCGTCCGTAAACTCAGTTGAGAAAACTAAACATATTTTTTAACACCGAGCGCTCCAGCTCCCCTTTTCAGCTACCATATCTGATGCCCATCCCCTTCACGAAACCGTTCCCACACAGTTTCCAAGGTAACCCCTCACCTACTTTTTCGGGCGTGCCATTGGCCAGACTCGACGGCTTAGTTCGGAGAGGTTCCGGGAGATCAGTGTGCGCTTTATCTCTAACTTGTTCTAAAATTACCGGCACTCGCAGAAATGATGTCACTCCGTTGCCTGAGGGTAAGCAATAGACTCCTCCTAGAGCGACTAGCAGTACTTTCGAAGTCCTTCAGGCGGGCGGCACCATCGGCTACTTCTTGCGCACTGGGGACGGGCAAACGAAGCCACTGTGTGAGAGAGCGAACGCTGAAGACTTGGGCGTACACGGATGCATGCAGCGATAGCCATATAGACAGTGCGAGATTGACTATAGCAGCGCCTGAAGAGAAAGTCTCGGTAGTTCGATGGCATATGGGAGCGGCTACCCATAGTGATAGCATACGGCCAGAAGAGCCAGTTTGGAGTCAACTCGGGGGCCCGACCCTTGTAGAACATCTCTATTGTCAGCACCAGTAGTATCGTATTCATTATCTGAATGAGCCGGCGAGAAGCATCATAGTTAAGACTAAATGATGAGTAGTGTTGTAGTCGGAAGTGAATACTCAGCTAGTTTTGAATATATGTCGTATTATACTCCTACTACGACGACTAGTACTAGAATTGGCTATTCGGCTCAGTAGTCAAAATCAATGGCATAAACGGTGAGAAAAAGAGTTCCCTATAGTACCAGGTAGTTGTCCATTTTTAGTATGGTGAGGCCGAAAAGGTCCCGCAGGTCCTGACGGTAGAGATCGACCTGCCTCACACGCATCTTCTGCTGTTGATAAATGTTCTTCTGTCGGAGCTCAGTGTTGAACTTCCAATTCTCCCTGTTGTACATAAACAGCTTCTTCGCTGCATCTCCGACAGGCATAGTGTTAAAAAACAATTGGGGGCTGATTGGGGATTTCCAACGAGGTGTGGAGGCGTCACGACAGAAGGTGAAAATGCGCAGTTATGCATCGCTCCGCTCCGCGCAGGGCACTTCTCGCTCGCCCGAAATGAGCACGCATGCCCATGCACGCGTCATCTCTGTTCGTCGGCAAGAATTCCCGCATAGATTGTATCGTTGATGCCACCCACTTGAGTACGGTTTGCTTATCAGTTATCCCGTTTTACCCCACTAATGAGATTAATCATCCCCATTTTCGCCTGCATTGCCAGTGCAGTCCTCGGCGCTAAGGAAGAGGAAAAAGTATCCGGCCCAGTAGTTGGTATAGATCTTGGTACTACCTATTCTTGTGTCGGCATCTACAAGAACGGCCGTGTCGAGATCATCCCCAACGACCAGGGTAACCGTATCACTCCGTCATACGTGGCCTTCACTGATGAAGAGCGTCTCGTCGGCGAGGCCGCGAAGAACTATGTGGCAGTGGACCCGCAGAATACAGTTTTCGATGTCAAGCGACTCATCGGGCGTCGCTACTCTGACAAGACCGTTCAGCGTGATAAGAAGCTACTGCCTTTCAGTATCATCGACAAGGGCGGCAAGCCTATGATAGAGATCGCCGTCAAGGGCCAGAAGAAGGCTCTGACTCCCGAGGAAATCTCGGCTATGGTGTTGACAAAGATGAAGGAGACTGCTGAGAATTACCTCGGTACTGAAGTCAAGAACGCCGTGATCACTGTTCCGGCTTACTTCAACGATGGCCAGCGTCAAGCCACTAAGGATGCTGGTGCCATTGCTGGCCTCAATGTCATGAGAATTATCAACGAGCCCACAGCCGCTGCTATCGCCTATGGTCTCG